AGAAGCTTAAAGATAGAATACTAAGACTTCAGGAACTGAAGGGAAATTCATGTACAGAATATTTTAGATTACACTGGGGAAGGATTCTCTGGGATTGACGGCAGAATGGAGTTGATTTTAAAGTTTTGGGTAAAATCCTAGAAATAAATTTGAGGTTACAATAACAACAATCACAACAGCAGACTATTGCCAAACCTCTCATTCTAGCTTGGTATATCACATTGGTGGAAGAATTAAAGTTCTTGAAATTTCAAATTAGCAAGGCTTTTCATGTGTTTATGCTACATTTAAACTGGAATTTACAGCTAGGCCTCGGGGGCACATATCTGTAATCCTGGTGGCTCTGGAGGCTGAGGCAGGAGGATCACAGATTTAAGGCCAGCCTTAGTAATTTATGGAGACCTTGTCTCAAAATAAAATAAAATAAAATAAGCCAGGCACGATGTCACACACTTGTAATCCCAGCAACTCTGGAGGCTGAGGCAGGAGGATTACAAGTTCAAAGCCAGATTCAGAAATTTAGTGAGACCCTCAGAAACACAGTCAGCCCCTTTCTCAAAATAAAAAATAGGAAGGTCTGGAGTATGGGTTAGTGGTTAAGCATTTCTGGTACCAAAAATAAATAAATAAATAAGGAATGCATTAGTTGAAAACTTCAGTTGTTCCCAGCTTATTTTGTTTCCCTCCTAAGTTTTCCAGCCGTAGAAGCATACTCAAATCACAAGGTAAAATCCCCTAATAATAGGGTAACCAACTGTCCTAGTTTTCCTAGATTTGTCCCAGTGGGATCAATGAAAGTCCTGTGTTCCAGGACCAAGACTGTTGGTCCCCTTACCTAACAAGCACATATTGCCCATTTGGAAAAGTTGTGTGCTCACATTTACCTCTTCTTCATAGACCCATCTTTAGTGTTTTAACAAAGTCTCTAGTGTTAGTTTATTCTTTAAGTTTTTTTTTTAATTGTACACAATACCTTTATTTCACTTATTTATTTTTATGTGGTACTGAGGATCAAACCCAGGATCTTGCACATGTGAGGCAAGCGCTCTACCGCTGAGCCACAACCCCAGCCTGAGTTTATTCTTCTTTAGTGTTTTTTGTACTGGAGATTGAACTCAGGGCCACTTGACCACTGAGCCACATCCCCAGCCCTATTATGTATTTTATTTAGAGATAGGGTCTCACTGATTTACTTGGCACCTCGATTTTGCTGAGGCTGGCTTTGAACTCATGATCCTCCTGCCTCAGCCTCCAAAACTGCTGGGATTACAGGCATGTGCACCCAGCTTCTTTAGTGTTCTTAACAATTCTTTCTTCATAGGCAGCACATAGACCCTAGAATTCATGCTCTCAGTCACAGTCTAGGTTCTACTCTTCATTGTGAAGCACTGGGCACGTTACTTAATTTTTCTGAGTCTCAATTTTGTTCTTTTTAAAAATATTTTGTTTTAGTTGTAGTTGGACACAATACTTTACTTTATTTTTATGTGGTGCTGAGGATCAAACCCAGCACCCTGCACATGCTAGGCAAGCGTTCTACCGCTGAGCCACAACCCCAGCCTTCATTTTGTTCTTTATAGAATGAAATAATAGTGACCATTTCATTGGGTTGGTATAAATATTAACTGAAATTATGCAGATATGATATTTAGTATACATTATAAAATATGAAATAAACATTAGCTATTAAACCTTTAGAGTTGTTAGTTACATAACAAAAGACTGAGGGGATGGTGTTTAAAACACACATCTTCCACCCAATAGTATAGAGGCACCATTTACAGACCAAAATGCTACATACCCCATTACCACAGATTTATATGTGTATACACAGAAGCGTCTATCAGGACTTCTACCAGGGTACTAGAAGCATTGCATGTGGTGTTAAAAAATGGGGAAAAAAAGAACCATATTTAAACTTTAATAAGGATTTTCCAGGACAAATTTAAAGTTGTAAAATCTTTACATGGGACTGCACCAACAATTAAGTAGTCACTCCCCCCCCCCACACACAAAAAAACTTTATTAAGTACTGGCTGTATAAGTAGAAGCTGAGGGAAACCAAGTGAGTCAAATACAGCCCTACCTGCAAATTTCTTACACTCTTTTGTTCCAAGGAAACCAAGGGCTAAGCTGGGAAGCAGGGACAGGTCAAAGCAGGCAAACAAGATATAAATCAGGAGTGTGCCCTGCCCTCTTCCTAAGAATGCGGGAGCCCTCATAGCAAGAGAATAGGCTATGGGATGAGGGATATGGAGCATACTTTCTCCAGCAGGACAGGCAGTCTTGAAAGTTGGCTAAGGAAAAAGACACTGAAACAGGAACCTGAAATGTCTAATCATGAAAAGGAACAGGAGTGAAAACGGCAGCTGAAGTATGGTGATAGAAACCCAGGGAATGAAATGAAGTAATAAAGGAAATGTTCACTTAGAAGAAGACTGTCCAATCCAGACATTGGAAAAGCCTCATGACTAGAAATAATGGTCTCCTGGTTTGCTAATGAGCATGTCATTCTGGGCAAAGCCTAAACTGAATTCAGTCCTCACCCCACCCCCATTTCTTTCCAGTGCTGGGGATGGAACTCAGGGTCTCTTGAATGCTAGGCATGTGCTCTACCACTAAGCTATACCCCCAGCCCAGTATCTGTGCTCTTTAAGGTCCTAGTTGTCAAGAAAAATGAGAGACTATAAGATTGTTACCACAGGACCCTGCCATTCACTCCTCAAACTCAGGGAAGCCTGACAACTTGCTGGTTTGCTCCTCATCAGTTTAGGCCACTGAGTTGCTCTGTTTCCAGGAGACAGGGTGCTCAGGTGCACCTTCCTAATAGTTCACTCTCCTTTCTCAACGAGCGCCATCAACACCTCCCCTCTTCCCCAACTTGTAGCATTTCCAGGTTTTACCAAGAATCAAACATCAATAATGTGGATAACAAAGGAGGTCTTTCCATTCAAGAAACCCAAACCAGGACACACTGAGGTGTGGCACAGGTGAAAATTTTGATCCTCAGGCTCCCAACTTCACACCTTGCTCACTTAAGTTCAATCCTCCTAGGCCCAGAACCAGAGGAAGTTCCCCCTTTCACGCTTTACCAAAGCCCTGGAGGGGCAGTTTCTCTCCCAGCTGAAAGAACACAAATGCTACAGACACAATTCCAGGTTTCTGCACCACCCCTCCCCCTCTGCCACTCTCCAATAGAGATGAGAGGATCCTTAGGAGCCAGTTAGGGATTTTGCTCTGCAGGGTTTCAACGTCTGTGGAATGAATACACTTGTAGTAATCTTTCACCAGAAATGAAGATTCTCTCAAAACCTGTTCCATCCATGGCCTGGTTTATTTTAGAAAATGAGATAATTTGACACCTAAAGTGAAATAATAGATGACAAAGGGCTTGAATGGCATCTCAAATGATACAGTGATACTAACGAAGTTGGCAGCCTTGCTTGTCCCCCTCTGGAACCACTGGGAATAGAGTGAGGGAGAGGCGATGGTGGATTTGTCTTGGGACAAGGGAGGCAAAACTGATCTTAGCATTAAGTGAGGGTCGCTCCTGCCTTTCTCTATTGTTTTTTAAAATTTCTCCTTTCAGCCTCACAGGCACCCAAGCATTTTGTGAGTGCTCAGTATTTCTTATCACTTTGTCTGTTCACACCACCTACCCATGACCTAGAACCTCAGAGCTAGAAGGAGCCTTAGAGACCAGAGAGGTAAGGTAACTTGCTCAGGCTCATACAGAAAGGTAGAACCATAACTTGTACTACCATCCAGTCTCGCACAACAGGGATGGCTTTCACTTACATAACCTGTGTCATTGAGCAAGAATAAAATCCATCCCTGTACATACACACGCAGCCTGCCACTAAGAATGCCAAACCCATGGCAAGGTTTCCTAAAGTTGCCTTCCTTGTCTTTAAATTAGCTCAGTTGTATTGGGAGTGGGGACAGAAACAGGAAAGACAGTGGAATGAACCTCACATAACTTTCCTAAGTATATATATGAATACAGCATAGTGAATCTCAACATTGTGTACGTCCATAAGACTGGAATCATAATTAGAATACCATATACTCCATGTTTGTATAAATATGTCAAAATAGACCCTCCTGTCATGTATAACTAAAAAGAACAAACACAAATTTTAAAAAATGACCTCAGTTGTTAAGTCATTGCTACCAGATCATCTCACATTGGGGGACAACAGCTGCCTTGGGTATGCCCACTGTGTTTCTCTCCTCTCTCTTCCTTTCCTCCCCAACAGGATTTCTAGAAAGTCTAACCTACCCTCTCAAACACTGCTTGCAGGGATATGGATTCATCCACCTTACTGCCACATGCAGTTCTTGAGGCACTCAAGGAGATGTCCTAGGGTGCTCTCTGGGGTTCCTTTTGCCTACATTTGAAATCAAAGGCTGTGATCCATGGAGGGGGTGGAGTCCCCCCATCCAGAGTCTCAAGAAAACCTAACCTGTCTCTGGTTTTTCTTATTCCCAGCCGTCCACCTTCTGCCACCAGCTGCAGCCTAATTTGTCTTGACATTTTCCTTGTCCTCACTGTCAGTTAGGGCCACTCAGTAATTTAAAAGCTCTTGCAGTTTCAATCCGAGCTTGTACATTTAGAAATGGGCTTTTGGATACAGTAGAACTCAGATTCCAAGAGGACCTCACGGCTGAATGTCCTAAGGGGTCTGTGGAAATGTATGCATTTGTGAAAATGGGTACTGAGAGCTCTCTCCATACCTATGGGGTCTGCCGACCTTCTGGGCCCCAGAGTTGTCTTGGTGAGCCTTTGTAGGCCCCTTCAAAATATTCGCACCTGCCAATCCTCCCCTGAGTTCTGTGGGATTCCAAATAACCTCAAAGTCCAGTTACCAAAGCCAGAGAGCCTGATCTCCCCCGTGCCCCTAATGAACTTCCTGATTGCCCCTTTTGTCAGAGGTGAAGGTCCAGCAGAGGCTGGTGTGAACCTGGACTCGCACCCACCCGTGTGCCCAGCCACCCACCTGTGGAAGAAGAGCAGGATGGAGAGCATGGTTTGGTCGATGTTGCGGTTGCAGATGCCCTCGTTAATCAGGTAGCAGGGGTCCCGCAGCACTGGCTCTAGCGAATCCTGCCGCATTATGCTGTTGAGCTTGTCAGTGTTGAGGTTCTCAAAGATTAGCTTCTCCTGCAACTGCCGAAAGTTGCTCACTGTAGGGCTGCCCGGGTTGTTGTTCTCCCCGCTACTGTCGCGCTGGAGCCCGCTCCGGTGGGCCAGGTCCAGGCAGCAGTTGCAGCAATCGAGGCCGACAGGTGAGCGGCAGTCGGTCTTGGACTGGGCCATCTTCTCAGGCTCGGGGGCCGCCTGGCCTTCGAGGTCAGGGGCGGCTGGCAGGTGCGCGCCCTCCGGGCTGGCCTTGGGGGACTCCAGGGTGCCTGGAAAAGACAAGCTGTGAGGAGAAGAGTTGGAAATTAGCGCCCAAAGCCAGCCACCCTAGGCTCAGCCCCCTTCTGGTTGTAACTGCTCGGGGTGCGAATAGAAACAGCTGGACAAACAGCTCTGAGCGGATCCTTCGGGCTCACTTCCTCCTCCTCCTCCCCCTCCTCTAGTGGCCGGGGCCGCCCCCTCTGAGGTGCCACACACGGCCCCAGCGCAGTCCCAAGTTTCCCAAGTGTGAGCAGGGCTCGGGGCGGACCTGTGGCGGCAGGAAGGGCGGGCAACAGGGCAAGAGGGAGAACCGGGGCGCGCCCTCGCTCCCTCCCTCCTATGCTCCCTCCCACCCTGGCTCACAGGCTCTCAGGCTCTCTTGGGCTGTGCCGGCTGAGCGGTGGCAGGAGCGGAGAGAGAGTGAGCGAGCGAGCCTGCCGCACGCCTCGGAGTCAGCACCCGGCTATGACAGCATGTAAATGACCCCAGCTGGGCCGGCGGAGCACGCTCCGTCGTCGCTTCCCTGGCAGGCGCGGGCCCCAGGTCGGGCTCAGTCTGGCCCCCTCGCCCCGCCCCGCCCTCACCCTAGCGCCCACGCAGCCGCTCGCACTCCTATGGAACCCGTTCCGGCTCTCCCTTTCTCCGAGCGCCTAGCGCCACGATTCGGGCTCCCTCAACGCTCATGGCGCATCCTCTGCCAGAAATCTGCCAGCACTCCGTCTGGAGCGCCGCGCCTCCCCTGTCACCCCGCCTAGCGGGTCTGGAGCTTGGCGGGAGGGCAAATGTTTCTAGTCCCACCGCGGAGGAGTCCCCCTACAGGAGAAACGCCGCGTTTGGGAGCCCCCGCGTGTCGTGGCTTTCAACCGTCGCTCTCCACAAACCCTATTTGGGGGGTGCGGAGAACAGGTCGTCTCTGCAGAGTCAAGAGAGCGCCAGATACACGTCAGGGATACTCAATAAATGTCTTAAGCCAAACTCAAAGAAGCACGGTCAAACTCGTCCTCAGTTTCTGTCCCTTTCTTCTCACTTCACTTGTCTTCTCCCCCACCCCCCTTACTCTCTCCCCTCTCTCCTGAATCCTATTTGAATAACCTCTCCTGTTTTTCTGGAACGCCAGCTCTGGCTAGCGGACTTACCTCTGCTCTAACCCTTCTCCCTCTCCACAGTCACCTACTTTCTTTGAACCTTCCACGCTTTCCAGTTTTTCGCTAAATTTTCTCTTTTATTTTTTCTTTATCTGTCTGTTTCCTCTATCTCCCTTCCAACCGCAGTTCCTCTCTTTCCCCTCTCTCTCTCATTTCTTTTTCTCCACTTTTCTCCACTTCTACATTTCCCCTTTCCTCTTTTTTCTCTTTCTGAATTCTTTCAGCTCCCTTAATTTCCCTCATTTAATTTCCTCCTCACTTCCTTCACTTCAGCACCCCCTCTTTCCTCTCATTTATCTCCCTCTGTTTGGTAAACTTGCTCTCCTCAACCTTTTCTCACTCCTACCTGCCACCTTGGGAAATCTCCGGCCTTCTTACCCTTTTCACAGATGTGGTGATTAAATGTTCACGGGCCTGAGGGGCACTGGGGAAGCAATGCGTTCGGAAACTGCCGGCGGAGGGATCTGAGAGGATGAATCCGGTGCTGAGGTACAGTGAAAGGGCAGATATGTGGAGAGGGGGCAGTCTGGTGCCCTGGGTCATACCCCAGCTTTGTGAGATGTAGGGATGTGCTGGGTGGGCAAGTGGTAGGCTTCTAAGATGTCTCAGGACTTGGAGACTTGGAATATATTGAACGTGTAAGATTCAAAAATTACTGGTTCCTGGAAAAATTAAAAATATTCGCAATGTTCAGTTTCCATATAAAACTCAAATAGATTTCAATTTCAGTCCCACTCCCCACCCCCTTTTCACTCGATTCATTCACAAGCCCATGACTTTTGAAATAAAGCAGTATATACTGCCATCTTGTGCTCTAGACATGAAACAGTCTATGTCTGCGTCACCAAGTTAGATGTTTGGCAGACGCCAGGGGTGCCTCCTGGTGGAATCCACAGTGCTTTGGTTCTCAGTAACAGACACTGGAGGAGGAGGAAAAGGTGGAGGAGGAAGCAGATCTCCTACACCAAGAGAGTGCCCAGCCCAGCCCGCCATTGCAAAGCTGTAGACAGGGACCCCAGTCAGGGTCAGAACCACATCTTTTTGTAGTAGCTGCAGATTGGATTTCATGGATTTGAATTTTCTTCCAGGTGCCATAACCTACACCTGTGATTAAGAGCAAACGGTAGTCAATAAATTAATTCCTGTTCCTAAAGCCCTGTGGGTCTTATTTGGAGTCCCCAAATTTAGGGGAATAAGAATGTGGAAGGTGTACTCTCTGCTATAGTGGCCAGAAAACCAAAAACAATCTATACCTCTGCTCCTGATAGGATTCTAAGGTCAGGGATGATTGATGGTCACTGACAAGACCAGCAGAACTGAGTATGACCCCTGTGTTCTTCTCACAGACTGCTAAGAAGTCTCCATTTCTTCCCTCAAAAGCCAATCCTTTAGATGAATTATTTTCCCTTTTTCTTCTTCCTTGTCTTTTTTTTTTTAATGTTCTTGGGTAAAAGCCAGAGGAGGTAGTAGAATATGAAATTTCATCTGCATTGTGTAGACTTTTAGCCTATTGAATTTAAAAAAAAGTATTTATTTTCTAGTTATAGGTGGACACAATATCTTTATTTTATTTTTATGTGGTGCTGAGGATCAAACATGCTTCACACATGCTAAGCGAGTGCTCTACCTCTGAGCCACACCCCAGCCCCTTGAATTTTTTTATTATTGTTTTTTAGTTGTAGTTGGACACAATACCTTTATTTTATTTATTTATTTTTATGTGGTGCTGAGGATTGAACCCAGGGCCTTGCAAGTGCTAGGTGAGTGCTCTACCACTGAGCCACAAACCCAGCCCCCTGAATTGTTTTTTAATTACAGTGTTTATTATTTTTCCTCTTGTTTATAATTATTTTATGTTAAATGTTATAACAAAATATATTAGATCCATAAATGTTTACTTAAATTGTGTTTTGAGAACTGCAAGACCTTTTGCTTCTAATATTTGCCTGAGTCCTCTTATCTTTGTGCATAACCTTGGGAAGAGGCCCCAGTGGAAGTATTTCCTTCTTGGCATTTGGCACCATTAAATTCAAGATTTTGTCCCCTTGACATTTTCCTCCTTGTGGTCCTTGTTCTCAAGCAGTATTATTAATAATTCAGTACAGCTTTGCATACCATATCTAGGCTGATCAAGAAAAAATATAATAGAGATATAGAAAAATCTAGATAGTTCAGAGATAAGATTCAGAGAACTGTCACGTGTTTGCATACAAGTCCAGCTCATATTGACATACTGCATACCTCTGCAAGGGAAGGCTGACTGGGCAGGGCCACCTGGCTCCCCTCTGTGGAACCTTGCTTTGCTGACATATATTGTGTTAAATGGAAAAACTCCAAGCAGAAAAATGTTATTGCATAAACTCAGAAAGCAGAGAGAGAACTCACTTCTAGAAAGAGCTAGTGGCTTTCTGAGTGGAACAGAGAGGGAATAGCAGGAGTACCTCCTTTTCACGCTCGCCCTGTGACAGGTACTATATTAGTAGGAATTCAGAGGTAAATAAGACACAGCCTTAGACTCCAAAGAATTTGTAGTATAACTGAAAGAACAGATTCATAGAAAAAATTCATAGGCAAAAAGAATAAAAACTGGGAGCCAGGCGTGGTGGCACATACCTGTAATCTCAGAGACTTGGGAGGCTGAAGCAGGAGGATCTTGAGTTCAAAGTCAGCCTCAACAATAGTGAGGCACTAAACAACTCAGTGAGACCCTGCTAAATAAAATACAAAATAGGGCTGGGGACGTGGCTCAGTGGTCAATTGTCCCTGAGTTAAATTCCCAGTAAACCCCCTAAAAAAGAATAAGGACTGGAGATGTAGCTCAGTAGAGTACTTGCCTAGCATGCATAAGGACTTAGGTTCTATCCCCAGCACCCCAAAAAAGAGAATATAAATAAATAAAATATATAATATATATTTATATAATTTATTGAATCCCTATTGTGTGCCAGGCACTTACATATATTGTCTCATTTACTCTTCACAACAATCCTATGAATTAGGTATTATGATTCCAGGGATGACATGGGCTTGGGAAACATAAAGAAGCTCTCAGGTAACATAAAGAGTAAGTGGTGGAGTCTGGATTTCAACCCACAACTTTCTGTCTTTGGAGCTTGTGTCTTTACCCTTTAGGTGACATTTTAAATGATGAATTTATCAAACATTTACAAAGTGTAGCATCTATTTTAACAAGATCGCATATTCAAAAAAATCCATGTAATCAATGATTTACTAATATGTTTAAAGATTTTCATTTGTACTGTAGAGAACCAAGAAGGAAACTGACAGCACAAGCATAATAGCTGAATTTTTGTTGACCTGCCATGTGCCAGGCACTGTGCTAAGTGGTTTGCACGACATCGTGCCATTAAATTATCTCAACAGCCCTGTGAGTTAGATACTATCATCATCCCCATTAATAGACAAGGAAACTGAGATTCAGAGAGGGCATATAGCATGTCTAGAGTATATGTAGCTGCCCTTTAAGCATTTACTAATAGTTAGGTTTAAAACAAGGCACACAAGTGATTTTTAGGCAAGTTTGTTTCTATATCACTGATCCTCAATTTTGTTAGCCTTTTTTTTTTTTGAATAGGGGATTGAAAACAGGGGCACTTAAACACTGAGCCACATCCCCATCCCCCCCTTTAAATTTTCTTTAATTAATTTTTTTTTGGTGTAGATGGACACAACACAATGCCTTTATTTTTTATTTTTTTTTATTGGTTGTTCAAAACCTTACAAAGCTCTTGACATATCATATTTCAAACATTAGTTTCAAGTGAGTTATGAACTCCCATTTTTACCCCACATACAGATTGCAGAATCACATCTGTTACACATTCACATTTTTACATAATGCCATACTAGTGACTGTTGTATTCTGCTACCTTTCCTATCCTCTACAATCCCCCTCCCCCCATCTTCTCTTTCTATCCCATCTACTGTAATTCATTTCTCTCCTTATTTTTATGTGGTGCTGAGGATCGAACTTGGGTCCCGCCCGTGCTAGGCGAGCATTCTACCGCTGAGCCACAATCCCAGCCCTAGCCCCCACTTTTAATTTTTTTGGTAGTTGTAAATGGACAGCATGCCTTTATTTTATTTGTTTATTTTTATGTGGTGCTGAGGATCAAACCCAGTGCTTCACGCATGCTAGGCAAGTGCTCTGCCACTGAGCTACAGCCCCAGCCCTCCCCAGCCTCTTTTTTGTATTTTTTTTTTTTTTTTTTTTTTTAGAGACAGAGCCTCACTAAGTTTCTTGAGACTTGCTAAATTGCTCAGGCTGGCTTTAAATTTGCAATCCTCCTGCTGTAGCCTCTCAAGCCACTGAGATTACAAGTATGAACC